CAAGTGGATCTCATATATACGATTCATCACTAAAATGTGACTCTGTGTCGTGAACATCTTTTGGATCTCAAGTGGATCTCATATATACGATTCATCACTAAAATGTGACACTGTGTCGTGAACATCTTTTGGATCTCAAGTGGATCTCATATATACGATTCATCACTAAAAATGTGACTCTGTGTCGTGAACATCTTTTGGATCTCAAGTGGATCTCATATATACGATTCATCACTAAAAAAATGTGACTCTGTCTCGTGAACATCTTTTGGATCTCAAGTGGATCTCATATATACGATTCATCACAAAAATGTGACTCTGTCTCGTGAACATCTTTTGGATCTCAAGTGGATCTCATATATACGTTTCATCACTAAAAATGTGACTCTGTGTCGTGAACATCTTTTTGGATCTCAAGTGGATCTCATATATACGATTCATCACTAAAAATGTGACTCTGTGTCGTGAACATCTTTTGGATCTCAAGTGGATCTCATATATACGATTCATCACAAAAATGTGACTCTGTGTCGTGAACATCTTTTGGATCTCAAGTGGATCTCATATATACGATTCATCACTAAAAATGTGACTCTGTGTCGTGAACATCTTTTGGATCTCAAGTGGATCTCATATATACGATTCATCACAAAAAATGTGACTCTGTGTCGTGAACATCTTTTGGATCTCAAGTGGATCTCATATATACGATTCATCACTAAAAATGTGACTCTGTGTCGTGAACATCTTTTGGATCTCAAGTGGATCTCATATATACGATTCATCACTAAAAATGTGACTCTGTCTCGTGAACATCTTTTGGATCTCAAGTGGATCTCATATATACGATTCATCACAAAAAATGTGACTCTGTCTCGTGAACATCTTTTGGATCTCAAGTGGATCTCATATATACGTTTCATCACTAAAAATGTGACTCTGTGTCGTGAACATCTTTTGGATCTCAAGTGGATCTCATATATACGATTCATCACTAAAAATGTGACTCTGTGTCGTGAACATCTTTTGGATCTCAAGTGGATCTCATATATACGATTCATCACAAAAATGTGACTCTGTGTCGTGAACATCTTTTGGATCTCAAGTGGATCTCATATATACGATTCATCACTAAAAATGTGACTCTGTGTCGTGAACATCTTTTGGATCTCAAGTGGATCTCATATATACGATTCATCAAAAAATGTGACTCTGTGTCGTGAACATCTTTTGGATCTCAAGTGGATCTCATATATACGATTCATCACTAAAAATGTGACTCTGTGTCGTGAACATCTTTTGGATCTCAAGTGGATCTCATATATACGATTCATCACTAAAAATGTGACTCTGTCTCGTGAACATCTTTTGGATCTCAAGTGGATCTCATATATACGATTCATCACTAAAAATGTGACTCTGTGTCGTGAACATCTTTTTGGATCTCAAGTGGATCTCATATATACGATTCATCACTAAAATGTGACTCTGTCTCGTGAACATCTTTTGGATCTCAAGTGGATCTCATATATACGATTCATCACAAAAAATGTGACTCTGTCTCGTGAACATCTTTTGGATCTCAAGTGGATCTCATATATACGATTCATCACTAAAAATGTTTGAAACATGGTCGGCTCCTGACTCTTACCATTTACTATCTTTACAAGAGTCTGATAAAACCAAAAATGTTGCTGCCATATTTGGGCTGGAAATCCTCATTTTCTAGTTTTTACAGTGTTTAGAATTGTGGCCTTGTGGGAGATGAATACTTTTCAAACCTACACCAATTTTTCCATGGACGGAACGTTGCATGACTATCGCTATATTATCGGCATTTTCATTGTAAATGTTCAGACACGCTACATTCTTTCGTTCCAACAGTTCAGACCTTTACAGCACGGACCTGACATGCCACTTACACAGATTCGAATCATTCTAATTCCATTCGTATACTGTTGGTAAGAAGGAAGTTCCACTCAGATAACTTCTTCCATAGAACTGTTACTTTTTGGAACATATTCACATGTTGATACTTTCTCGATAAATATAATCTTAACCTGTTCAGGTCGACGCTCAATCATTATCAACACTACATATCTACATAATCTGTACTTCATTCCTCCTCTGACGTCCATAAAACGAACTCATTCAGTAACCCTCCACTTTGAGTGATTCTTGAGCCTTGTTTTGGGTGAATATTATTAAACAAAGACATGATTAATTAATATGGATCACCACTTTTGCCAATGTTAAGCGTACTCGTGCTTTCTTTCGAGGATCGAACTATGGCTCCCCAGCTCTTGTGTTTAGGATCTGAGTATGTATCTTTGTAAACCGTGAAACACACACACACACACACACACACACACACACACACACACACACACACACATATATATATATATATATATATGAGGAAAATATAGATTTAATATATACTATATGTATAGGTAAAAGTGCGATAGAGCGCGTGTAAATATAATCACCTGAGGATCGCATTTAAGCAAGAAACAAACTAACACCACTTGGTGTTAACCAAAGTGTCCACTTATATATATATATATATATATATATATATATATATATATATATATATATATCGAAAGTTAGCATGAAAATATTGTTTTTGCTTTTGATTGTTATTTAATAATTAATCATATTATTTCCGATTTTGCCTTTTTAGAATTTTTATTAGGTTGCTGTTTCCCCGCTAGCAGTTTTATGATTTAAATTCAAATCCTGAAATTAAACACATAAAAAAAAACAAAAAAAAATGTCAACAAAATCAGAAGTTGGGAAAATTACTGCATAATCAGAGTAAATAAACAGTCGTAAATGGAAGTGAATCTAACAGTTGAGGCTTTGTATTTAACGGATTAAAAATGGAAAATAACGTGGGAAAACAAGTCATCTAAATCGTGACTGTCACGAAAAACACGATGTTACGTTAGCAGTAGAGTTAAGAAGTCGATTAAAAACAAAACAAAACAAAACAAAAAACAGCAAATAAGTCTCCGTTCCTATTACGTAGGCAATTGTCATAGCATACATCAAAACTAAAAAAATATGTCTTTTTAGTATAAAATATTAAAAAGATGGCTCCATAAAGAGAGCTCAATGTATAGCATACAGAGCAATATATATATATATATATATATATATATATATATATATATATATATATATATATATATATATATATGTGTGTGTGTGTGTGTGTGTGTGTATGTTTTGTATTATATATTCATTCATTTTATTTCAATTATTTTATTTAAATTTTCTGACTGTTAATGTATTATTTTCTCTTCGCCCTTTTATATGTGCATATGTACATGTATGTCTTTATATATGTATGTGTATGTATATATGTGGGTGTCTTTGTATGAATTACTATCTTAGCTGTTACTGTGTTCTCCCAACCACCACACGTGAAAATCAGCTTGAAAGCTAACAACGCCTCCCCCTACATATGTCTTCAAGATTATAAATCCCCAGAAAATAGATTTTCTCGATCAAGCGTCTAGACTTCCTGTTATCTTGTTTTTAAATATATTCTGGATAAATTTAAATTTAAACCATTTGTAATTTCGGTCTGATGAGATCGGTGTTAAAAACTTACCAGTTGAAAGATAGAACAGTAAGATATATAATCCGGTGTTCATATTGGTATTTTTATTTTTACAAAATAGTGCCCAATGTAAATTTACAGAGCATTAATTATGAATTTTTCAGTGCCTTTAAAACTCAGTAAATTTTAAAAAATAAGTTACTCCAAAATTCGCTTGAGGATGAAATGGAACTAATGTTTTTAATTTAATTACAAAATTAAATTCGAAGCTTTTAGCTTCCATTTTTGAAACATGGGGATTACTGTGTAGCGAAAAAAAACATATTTTAAATCAGTTAATATATATATATATATATATATATATATATATATATATATATATATATATATACCACTATATCTTTTAAATTTTTTCTGAATATATTGCAAAAATTTGAATATAAGCTTCAATTGCATGTAAAAGGCATATAAATTCGAGAAAGAATTTGCAACCTTATTGGATCTGACCTGGCATCCCGGCTTCAGCTTTCCACTTTAAAAAGTTATTTTCCACTTTTAAAATTTGAATTTAAATGCAATGTCAATTTTATTTTCTTGAAATCCTGTTGTTTTATTGTTCTCTCTCCTAAATAATGTTTCTCTTTCTCATATTCTCTCCCACTCAGTAACTCCTTGTGCTTTAGTGGCTTTACTGTCTTGTTTTGAGTGAAATGATTAAAAAATACATAAAAATATTTGCGTACTTAAAACTGGTTTTAATTAGTTATTAAACGTTCTTTATATTTCTCAATACATTTTCAATATGCCATGTCTATCAACAGAAAAACAGTCTATGCTTTAAAAAAATCTTCTGAAATTTAAAAATATTACTTTAAAATTGCTTAAAATATTGTCAAAATACATTTTTTTGCAGAGTATCTGTTGTTCGCCTGTCAAATCTGTTAAATCAAGTGCTTTTTGCGTCATGTTATCCTGTCCACAGCGGATAAAGAATTCTCATGAGTCACTAAAGGGTGGTAGACCGAAATTGAGAAGAAATTGGAACCAGTTTTCTTTGATCGTCATGTTATGTCACAATTAACAAGCGTCATAAAATTAATTCGCACGTCTTTGCGCAAATAGAGGCGAGCTATAAAGGTGCGCATGCGCGTTGATTGTAAGGAATTGAACGAGAGAATTAACGTTTAACGTTCATTACATGAATGTCAATTGCAAAATCTTCAAAGTTTACAGTGTATTTAAATAAAAAAAAACGCGAATATACTTTTCAAACAATATTTTAGTTTTATACGTTTTATTTGCCGATTCAGCTGATATTTCTATATATCTCTTGTTAAAGTTTCATATCTAAATTTCAATATATTATTACAATAAAATTAACAGATAACAAGTTATTGGCATAAGTCGCTTTGTTTTCAAAAGTTGGTGGATGTGCTTAATTGGAAAAACCGCGGATTCGTAAACTCCTGGGCATCAATAGATCTATCTGCGCAATATATATACTAACGCGTTAAAACATTATTATCTACGGCATATGGCAAGAATGACGGCTATTGTCGGCGTTTGTTAAGGTCAGATATACATAGGCAGGTAGTCTAGTCCAGTGCATTTCATTTTACAGTGTAGAGGTCTTGTAGAGTGATCGGCTAAGCGCCATTTGTTTGCATACATATGGAGTATGACACCATATTAGGCAGTTGGTTATAATTATCCTGAGGATATATTTGTTTGAAAATACATTTCTAAATCTATCTATCTATCTATCTATCTATCTATCTATCTATCTGTTTCACACTTTTTTTTTAATTGTATCTATCTTTCTGTATGGTTGGTTTCCATCAATCAAAGCTGAAAATGAATATAATGATTTATGTTCACAAAATAACTACAGATAAATGGTTTACGGGTATAATCACGCATTCTTTCTTTTTCCATCAACGTAGCACATCAGTTCATAATCAAGATGACTGGCGAGGGAACAGGACCCAAGGAGATTTTGATTCATTCCTTTAACCCTGGAATCAATAATTCTATGTCGGCTCGACAGTTTTATAATTCACACAATTCTCTCTCTTTTTCATTCTCCCACCCACTGTAAATATTTATGCATATAGGGATTTGCCAATCATAGCATAGTTTTGGTAGAAGGCCGATATTTAATGAGCACCCAGTGAGGTTCAAACTTACTAATCAGTAGTAATTGATCTAACGAAACAATTTTGTTAACCATTACACTACATCGAAGTTTCGAAATCTTTACGTATATAGAGATTGACGCGAATATATATAATTGTGCAGCGATATAAATTTTGTTACTAATTAAATCTTTGAAAAGTATATATATATATATATATATATATATATATATATATATATATATATATATATATATATTAATAACAGCTTTTCAAACTATATAGTTGATGAACAAATAAGATGCTTTCTTAGAAATCTCAATACTAAGCAAATAGTACATAATACTGCTTCTACTAATCTCAAACATATTAATCTCCTATATCGTAATCAAATGCATACTAATTATAAACAAGATGAAAATATATTAAAAAATTTAGTAAATGCTAATATATCAACAACAGATGCTAGAAAAAAAATTAAATTAATCATATGATACACTAAATCTAGTATATCCAACTTAATTCTTCGCAATGATTCTTCTCCCCCGGTTAGCAATTTGCAAAAAACCAACATAGTTTTTAAATTCAAGTGCCCTTTGGAAGATTGTATCTCCAACGAATTAAATAATATTTATGTTGGTCACACCACAAACTCGCTTTCACGAAGCTTGACACTACATTTGAATGAAAACGCTAACATTTTTAGGCATTTAAAACAACATGCCTGGACGCACACACAATTCCGTAAAATCCTTATCGAAAACACAATTATACTTCAACATGAAAACAATAAACTAAAAATCCTTGAAGCAATATACATCAAACAGTTGAAACCCAACCTAAACAAAATGAACTATGGAATCTCTACAAATATCCTTAAATGTCTATAATTGGTAACAGAAGCCATTGGCTTATACCAACGGCTTCCCATACTTAATACTTCTCGAATTCACTCTCGCGTCGTCATGTGTGACGTCATGAGCTGCGGTGCGATTTTCGCTTCTAGCGTCTTATATGCACGTGTTTATCGTTGCTAGGAAAACATCTATGTAAACAGAAACAGACTATCATCACTGTCTTGTCCGTATATTGCTTAATATGTTGTACAGTAATTGACATCTTTGATAATGGCTTATGTAAGCCGAAAGCTTAGATTGGATTAAAAATATGGATCAATATTGTGATTTTTTCTTTCTTCGTTTAATGATAATGTCATTAAACTTATCAGACGTTATGAAAAGAATTTACATAAAATAAATAGACAACACTTGTCTATATTATTTAATGAAACATGTATGAATGAAAAAATGCTGCCTAAATACACACACAATATATATATATATATATATATATATGTGAAAAGTGAAATATAAATATAAATAAATATATATATATGTATAATTATTTATATATTATATGCGCAATACTTATTAGGAAAGCGCTCAATATCAGAGATAGAGCCTAACATATTTGGTTGGATAGATGTGAGTTTGTGACCCTGGGTTTCACGCTTTAGCGATCGTCAGACAAACTGATTACTGTTTTAAAAATTTGGGTTTATGTAGATTGCGTTATTGGTGTTATTGTGGATTTGGTGGGGGACAATTTCGTCGTTTTGTCATTCATCGTACTAACATACAAATGCGTATCATAAATATAGACATACACACCTGTATACACACATGTGTCATCGTCCGAAACTGTCTACATATATATATATATATGTATGAGTCCAGTTTCGGACGACACAAGTATGTATATATGTATATGTCTATGCATACATCGATGTTGAAATGTTGTGTTTAAACGATGAATGACAAAACGACGAAATTTCCCCACCACTTCCACAATAACACCAATACACGCAATCTACATAAACCCAAATTTTTAAAACAGTAATCAGTTTGTCTGATGATCGCTAAAAGCGTGAAACCCAGGGTCACAAACTCACATCTATCCAACAAATATATATATATATATATATATATATATATATATATATATATATATATATATATATATATATACTATTTACATTATTCGGACTATTGTCCTCATCTTTGTCGCCATATTTATTACAACCTTTCGGCCGTTGTACGCTCCGGCCTTCTTCAGGTGGTTGGAATGTCGAACTGAACCCTTTATTTCGCTCACTGGAGTAGACTGTTCTAGTTCCAAGTGCCATGTTTAAAGGATGTCAGTTATCAGTTATCTCCTGTTAATTCCCCCCTCCAAGTTCTGCTTTAACCGGGTATTGAACTCACACTCTTTGGGCCCTTTCACTGGATCTAACCAACGCCTTTTATCCACTGTGCCATGTATCCTTGAAGACATCTGTGTATAAATTTCTGGGTATTATAAAGTTAATGTCTTCAGCAAACATTTTTTACCAGAGCTCATATTGCAATTTTTGTTGTTATTATCGATTTTTCTGGCACTCCTTATTACTAGTTCCCATATTCTATTCATTTCTATCCTTGGTCGGCTCAGGAGATTTTTGTGGCCTAGCATATGTGCTGATTCCTTAAGTTTACGAATTTTCCAATGGTGTTCCTTGTCTATGATCTCAACCTGATCCCACAGAGAACGGTGACCTCCTTTATATCTCCATTTGTGGTCAGCTACGCCTGATTTTTCCACTTCCCCTCGTGTTACAGCTTTCTGGTGTTCTTGAAGCCTTACCTTAAGGGGGCGGTCTGTCTCCCCTTTATATTTCTTTCTGCAGCTGCATTCCAACCACCTGAAGAAGGCCGGAGCGTACAACGGCTGAAACGTAATACATATGGCATCAATAGTCCCAATAATGTAAATTGTGTACATAATACTTCATCTCAGAAAAAATATATATATATATATATATATATATATATATATATATCATATAGCGCCCCATCATATTCTTTCACTTTATTTTTTTTTATTGTTAGTGTACCTGTAAAATATGCTACATCAAAGTGCAATAAATACGCTTTATTTCGCTCATTTAATACGTGTCAGCAAAGACTGCATTGATTTTTCTGCCCAACAAAGAATGTCCTTTCACCAGCAGTCATTTGATATCCGCAGTTGCAAATAAAACCTGAGATTTTGCCCTTGATTTTTATTCCACTTCAACTTATTCGTCATGTTTTCATCACCACGCTTCAGTAAATCTTGCAAACAGAATAGACCCTCATGACTTTTTTTGTTACATTAAAATATACTCAATTTGATGTCAAATATTGACTTAGATTTCAACACCGTTTGACGACAACTGATAAAAATTTGACTGAAAAAAAATAGATGCTTTGTAGGCGATTTTCTTATTTGATGCTGGTATTTTAAACCCAAATTTGATATATTTTATATAATCAAATGTTTTTTCAAATTTAATATTGCATCTGTTATTTATATATATATATATATATATATATATATATATATATATATATATATATATATATATATATATATATACCGTAGGTCAGAAATGACTTCATGACATTTTCCACTGATCATTTTGCAAAAAAAGAAAAATATACAAAAACCCAAGATCACACATATTTTACATAGATAAGGCTCTTCGTAATGTGTGAGCTGTGCTTGTGAGTATAATTTTAGTATTTCTAGGGTTCCACCTACAACTGGAATTATTGATGTTCTCATGTGCTACACATTTTAGATTTCCATTTCAAGATCCTTGTATTTTAATAGTTTTTTAAGATCTTCAAAGATACCTTACAATCTGCAGGGATTCCCATGTCAATAAGAAAGGCCATTCTGTTTTTAAGATCTTTGATCACGATCCCTACGCGATTAACATTCATCGTTGTGTCTGCGTGTATTGTAATATCCAACAAACTGTTAGGCACACGCAGGCAATCTACATCAGGATGATACATACGGTGGCAAGTGAGAAGATTTTCTCATTTTTGGTGTCCATTCGCAGATATGGTCCAGTTAAGGATGTTGAAACTGTTTATGGCTGAAATTCTGTTTTGTGATATCATCCATGGAGAATAGGCGATTAAACACTTTCTTTCTTAATTTGCATCTATAGTACTGTTTATTTGATTACAAAACGAGTCTTAAGGTCAAACAGAATAGACAGAACGACAGGGTGTCTCCTTGAAATATTGTCTGTCGGATATTCAAACAATTCGAAGTGACAGTATCTTTGGTGTGATTTATGTATAATGTGGTTTTCCACAGTCTGATGCAATATTTAAGGAAATGTACTGAGGAAATTGTGTACATTTCCAGAGCCTTAAGGATCCAAAAGTGGGGCACACTATCAAAGTTTTACGGTAATCTATCCAAGCTTTGCAGAGATTTCTCCTTTTTTTCTTGGAATTTTCCAGTATCATTTTATTTATTAGTAATTTATTATTCATATGAACCTCTTCCACATCCCTTCTGTTCCAGAGAAAGAATGCTGTCTTCATCGAGAAAAGAGTAATTACAGTTCTTCAGGACAGACGTGATCAATTAATATGGGATGACAGACATGTTATTGGCCTATCATTTCTTGGATCATCTATTTCCCTCGTTTGTGGTAGGAGATATGTAATACCTTCAGTGATCCATTCTTTGATTTCATTGGGTTTATTAATTAGCAATTATAAAGCTTGCGCAATAGTTTTATGAATTGATGACAGATGATAGAGCCAAAAGTTGGGTACCTTGTCATTTCCTGGCGATTTCAATATTTCATTCGTTCTTCTTCTCGTTTGATTCACTCTGCATTGGGATTATATTCCTTCGGGTTGATCCAAATATTCTCTCAAACTTTTGTACTTCTTCAACAGATGGTGGCTTTTTGACTTCTATAAGTAATTTTCCAATTCCCCTGTAAAACTTCTTGAGGTTCATTTGGAATATCTTAATTTGTCGATAGAACTTTTCATATCGTTTACAACACTTTTCATATCGCTTATTATTATTATTATTATATTCACTATGTCTATTGGATGTCTATTCGGACGGTAGATGATGCTCATATCACAGCTCCAATCAACAGATTAGAGACACAAGTCATGGTGCCACCTGCGCTGTCCCTATTATGTCAAGTATTACCAAGGAATCCTGCAAGGCAGAAAAATTCCTAGAAATAGTACCGAGTCTGTCAACTAAAAATAATATTAAGCGAGACAAGGTAAGGCAAGGTGGTAAATATATGCATACTTCTTTAAAAAAATTGTGTTAAGCGATATATTTACAGTATTTATATTTTGTTTACTTTTAATAATTTCCAAAGAATATGAATAATTTCGCATCCTGCACTTCTCTGCCTCTATTGAAAACAGGTGTTGCCAGGCATTTTGTCAATGCTACTTTTTGAACCGTTTTTTTTTTAATTTTTGCCAGGCCTCAAGTTATTATAGGAATAACAGTAGCTTTCTGATGCTGCATTTGGTCAGGTCAATTTTGAAACTGTAGTATTGCACTCAGGTTCGTGCTTGACATGATAAATAATAATACATTATATTTTCGCAATTCGTTACCGTTTCTTTGCGGAAATGAGTTTAACGATTAAGTTTAAGTTAAAAATTGGACCGTTGAAATTTCATTCCGGTGATCATTGAAATCCTTATAAAAATTATAATTGGAATATATGCAGTTAGTTGGTTAGAAATTAAAAGGGATAATAAATTCCATAACCAACCACTTTATCATGATCGTCTTTAACATGGTCCAGAGAATAAAACAGACAACTGAAATACAAACTTTTCCTTATAAATGTACAACACAATGCTTTCGCCTTTCTTCCAGAAGATATTCTTTTCTCACTATTGAAATCAGATGAATTGGAGATGAAAGAAAAAAAAATAAAAATGTGCATTAGATAAGTAAACATTTATTCTTATTTAATTAGTTATGTCAATTTACAAGACTAATTTTATAACTTCATTCAAATTATATCATAAAAATATAACAAAGTATGGGTAAATTTTCCAATAAAAATATTTTTTGTTTCAAAAGTAGCGAGACACTAAATAATAGATTTAAAAAAATACATTCATCAACTTTGAAGCAACACATTTCACATTTGATTAATCTCACAAAAGGGAACGTGTGAACCTGCGCTTGCATAAGGTTCTTTTCAAATAATGACTTGGAAGGTGTTCTAATGAATGGAATGTTGGATTTGCCGATATTACCTATACATTCGTTAAGTATGTAAAGAGCAGTTAAATTAACTACTGAAGTTTCACAAATTGTATATGGACAAGAAGCAGGACACAAGAACATTATTACTAAATGAATGTGCCATCAAATAAGACCTTTATATACTTCAAACGGAAATTATACTGAACAATTTAGCTATATTATGATGTAATATGTTATATAGTGCAGTTGTTTCAATAAACAATGCAAATGTAAGACATATTTTCTTATAATTTCTGCTCAGAAGTATTATGGTGTTATATACACTTTTATCATTTTTTGTTTTTATTAATTATGGCATATAAAATGGTGTAAGATCTTTTCATTTACTAGCCTTTTTTGTGATCGTTTACAATTTTTACAGATTTCACTTGCAGAATCCAATAAAAATGCCTAATTTGCTTGTGGTTAGACTTAATTAAAATTCTGATTTGCATATATATTCCATTCAATGTACCTAATACAAAAATATCAACTTTATTTGGATTTATTCTTGAAATAGTAAAATTTTGAAGTCAATTTGTAAACAAAAAACTGAAAATTAGTTATTTCTGTATATATTTAAACGACATTTAAAACTGAATGCTCAAATGTTAATAGTTATGAATCTCAATTTTCACGGGAGTACTTATCACATCATTCTGTAGCTTTTCCGCCGAGTGCAATGTTGATTTTCTAAAGAAAATGAAAACTCATCCTCAGGAAGTGAGACATTTTTTCAATTCAATATTCTTATATTTATTTCGTCATATTCTTTAATATATATACTTATCTGATATTGCTGCCATATCTGTGAGAAGGCATTATTGTTTGTTTTATATGCCTTTTATTATGAATGTTAAGTAATAAAGAATATTGGTTTCATGGCTTTCTGTGATTAATTTAGGGTGATGATTATATAATTTCAGGCATGTAGTACACTGTAATAACGACATAGCTTCAAGTGAATATATTGAACATTATTTTCAATGTTAATTTTTGTATTCTCTAAATGTCAATAGTATCAACATATTTTTTACATAATCTATATATTGCATTTGAACCATTCTTTATTATTTTTGTTTGCTAATTCCTGTTAAATAAGCTTTAGTCTTGTCCAGCCATTATAAATACCTCCATCTCTGTTTTTAACCATGCATACTTTAGCGAGTGTCTCTCGGGTTTAACTATAACTGCACTATTATTTCTAAGTGCATGCACTTAGAAACAATGATGCAGATATAGATAAACATGTCAGGTTTTCTGTTCCCAATTTTTTAAATACATCTCGAAAATTATTATTATTATTAGGATGATTATCCTCCTCACGTTCTGACTATACGGCTTCGGGTGTGAAGTTCTGAGATTAAATATTACCATTATTCAGATTAATATCATTTTCTCCGCTGTTTCTACGCTTTGGGGTCCTAGTGTTGTCTAGATATATAATAATAATCATACAAAGAATTATTATTATTATTATTATTATTATTAGTGCTGCTGTTTCGACTACTCCATTTCGACCATTGAAGACTTCAGTCTTCTAACAGTGGTCTGAGATTTTCTATGAATAGATGGAAAAAAAATGTCTTATATTATTTGATACAAATAACAATATTTTCAAATTTAACTTTATACTCTTGCTTGGGTATTATTAAACGAGGTGTTTTAATCCTTGTAATCTATAAGCGCATAAATCATTATAAAATGAAGTCAAGTGGGCCTGAGAAATAGGGAAATATTCAAAGTTTAACTGGTGGTCACCAGTGCACCATTTACTAGGAGAAAACATTCTCTAGCATCTAGACTCAAGAAGCAAAGAAGCAGATGAGATAGGATTCGATACTAAGCTAGAAAACAACGGAAAACAGAGGAATACCAGTGGGCACAAGACGCAAAACTCATAAGAAAAAAAGATCTTTAGGCTTTTTATGACTTTTGTACTTTGTGCCTTGAGGAAATTAATACGAACTAATTACATACAGTACTTATATTCTTATTGCTATCGAAATGTTTCATGTTTTTCTTAGGCAAGATTTACACGTGTTTATACTTGAATAGACACCAATATTCTTGATAAGTTATAAAGCACGTATGAAATTACAAGTATTTAGTCTATTTTATAAAGTAGATATAATATAAAAAATGTATTATGTTGAGTTATAACATCACAATTTATAAATAATATTTCTGCTTGCAGTCATTCTTCCATAGAAAATTCAGTTGATAAAAACAGGTTTTCTATTGCTGTTATATTCAATTTAAGAAGACGCTCAGCGTCAGTAGTTTTAAGAATTAAAGGATACGACATTCAACTGCGGAAGACTGAAAAAATATCTACAGAAATTTTTTACTAAAAATAAGAGTGTTTAGTCTTTTTATTGGTTTGATGATCATGACTTTCTACAACTTTTTTTTAATTTCTGAAATTCTTCCTTCTTTCCGACTCTTTGTTTTTGTGGTATTTGTCTCGTTATACGTTTTCTCAAAATTTCTCGCTGTTTTCAATTGTTTTTCCTGTTTTCGATTCGATATTTCCTGTGAGTGTTAAATTTTCCAAGCCTCCTCCCCTTATTGTGCATATTTTCTTGATTGTTTGTGACAATTTCTTTGTAGTTCCTATTCTTCTTAAAACTTCATCTTTTCTCTCATCTTCCCTTCACGGAATTATCACTATTCGTTATTAGAACCACATCTTTATCGCTTCAGTTCATGTCTTCATCAGTGACAAAATTGGCTAACATTCACTGCCACTAAAGTTTAGACATTACATAGCAATCCAGCACTCCTTTCTTTCTAAAGACGATTTCTGATCGCTTCGCACCTTGTTTAATGTTTTCAAAGTTACTACGTGCGTAATTCATATCATTTTATTATTTCTAGTCTAGTCTGCTACTAGATCTGTTCATTAGAATAATACGTATGTGGCTAATCAAGCTGATTTTCCCATTAAGTTCGTATATATTCGCATTTGGTTTCTTTAGCAACGTTATGAAAATTGATCAGCTAGAGTTCAAAAGTATTTTGACGCTGTCATATATTTTGTTTATCACTTCGCTAATCTTATCAGTCATCAAATCATCTAAGGCTGTCAATATCTCTGTGACAACATTGACTAGTCTTATTGCTTTATACCTTTGTATTTTAGACAGTACTGTTCTAACCCCAAATTTCAATATCACGATTTATCCATACTTTTATTTATTCTAGGCATAACTGTGTTGTCCTGGAAGAACTCTTCTATCTACTCTATGTATTTCATCGTACCGTTTTTTTTTTCTTTTATAGTTGTTCCCATTTTGCATTTTGTTCATCCGATCGAAGAACAGGTTTTCTGTTTTGCTACTTATTTGATCTGTTTATCTGATAAGACTGTCTTTTGAGGTTTTTTATTCTCTGCATATTTTCTATTAATCCATTTCTCTTTTGATTTTTGTATTTATTTCAGATATTTTTTCTTAAATTTCATTTATCCTTCGCCCTTTCTTATTCATTATCTGCTTTCTCTCTTTCATTAGGCTTAGGATTTTTATATCATTTACTTTTTTTCTTGCCATTCTTTCTTTGTTATATTTCTTCCGCTGGTGGCACTCGTGCTTTCCAAGAGTTGTGCTCCACTTTGAATCTCTGACCTCTTTCAAAGCCTCATATTTATTCTTAAATTTGACTCTATATACTTATTTGCACATACTGGTCTGATTAAATTATTAAAATATGTCGTAGATTTAATACAGATTTGTCATACCATATACGTCATCTTAAATATCTTTTTTCTGTAAATTTTTCTCGATTATTTCCCGTTTTTCCACTTTTTCCTCTTCTTTTATATTCTCGTGGTTTTCCTTCCTTTGCTAATTGGATTTAGCACCTATTTTCAAACTTAATGAAAACGAAAGGAGGCAGATCTGACCTTTTATATATTCCGTACTTTTTAAAACAACCTCTTAAATATTTTTGGACTCCAAAACAGAAAAAGTATAATAATTGACTTTGAGTAAGCAGAATATGATTATGTGTCACGAGTGGATATAACCAAGTGTCTGGTGCCGATGTTAAAACACTTAAAAATTGTACTAGAGTAATAGTTTGCATTTAACTGGCAGCTTTCTTTGCATATGCTTTGCTTGAAGAGAATAAAACATTAATACGATGAGATATTTATACGGCACATTAGGGGTGCACGTGGATCGAACGCATTAAAAAAAGCAATGATCTTTGAGAGTAGCTTGTTAACACTTGTTTAAAGACGGGCATTTGTCCATAGATATTCATTCAAATTTTGTTGTGTGTTTGTGATTAAATGGAATTTTTGACCGCGTAAAATTTCCATGGGTCGAAGTTTAAAAAGTCATGTACATTAAGATAATTCCTGAGAACCAAACGACAGATTCAAACAAGTATTGCTCTCAAATATACTAGTTAAAGGTAGCAATCAAAGAAACGTGTGTATATTGAATTAATTGATAGAAATATCGTAATATTGTTTCGGAATAGTACTAGAATGAATGATTCTTTTGTTACAGCTTAGCCAGGAAATTTGTCGCATTCAACAGTTATTGTACCTTCAGCTGAACATTTGCTCGGGTATTCACAAAAATCTTTAAATGAAAAGAAAATCACCTGAAGCGATAAAGAAAAACCAAGAGAAGATCATTTTGGAGAAAAATAAACACCTATGAAAGGTAGAAATACGGAACTTCTTGTTATGCAAGAAAATATCTTGTATGCATATTAAACGGAACGACTGGTTTATAGTAAATTGCCTGTACTGACAGTAGAAACACCTAGATATCTTGCGTGTTGCATCAGAATGGTGAAGTGGAATTTTCATCCTTGATTTTTACTTAGACTCGAATACCGGTTACTGATTAGTAGTGAGAACAGAGTTGCCAAAGTGAAACACTAGTATCGATTCGTACTAAATTGGAAAATCCAGCGCTACTAAATTTTGAATTTAGTCTCATTTGGCAACTGAGAACTAGAATAAGCTTGCTTCAGATCTCTTTACCATAGGACACATCATATTTGTTTATATTTTGATCTAATAAGAGATGTGAAGGTTGGATAGTTTGAAAAGAGATTAACTCTAATTAAACTTTCACAAGAGTCGACATTTATCTATGGTATGATGTTATGTCATACGAAAAATATTTTTCTGTAAATTCATTCCTAAAAAAAGAACAAACACGTTGTCGAGCGACTGACCCATGACAAGGTGGCAGTATTTTTACTAAATGTGAACCAGGTTTTTATGTCTGGTATCCAATGAACTCTGTTTAGTATAACAAGTTGGATATGAATCGGTTATTGTGCTTAGTCGGCAGACGGGTCGACAAAATGGCTGCAACGCTTGAATGATGCGCACCAAAGATATTAATTGGTGTAAACGATGTCTGTCAATTCATAAAAGCGAATACATAAACAATGTTGACAGCAATGACTTTTGAATTGCTCTAGTTTTTCTTTCTTTCTTTCTTTCTTTCTTTCTTTCTTTCTTTCTTTCTTTCTTTCTTACGTTGTACCACTCTTTCTCTTTTCCTTTTTATTTCCTTTTCAGTAATTTTCTCATTAATTTCCTTTTCATTCATTCATTCATTCATTCATTCTTTCTTTCTTTCTTTTTCTTTCTTTCTTTTTTCTTTCTTTCTTTCTTTTTCTTTCTTTCTTTTTTTCTTTCTTACGTTGTACCACTCTTTCTGTTTTCCTTTTTTTTCTTTTTCAATAATTTTCTCATTAATTTCCTTTTCATTCATTCTTTCTTTCTTTCTTTCTTTCTTTCTTTCTTTCTTTCTTTCTTTCTTTCTTTCTTTCTTACGTTGTCCCGTTCCTTCTGCATTCCCTTTTATTTCCTTTTCAATAATTTTCTTATTAATTTTCTTTTCATTCATTCATTCATTCATTCATTCATTCATTAATTCTTTCTTTCTTTCTTTCTTTCTTTCTTTCTTTCTTTCTTTCTTTCTATTTCCGATTTCTTTCTGTATTTCTCATTTCCTTCATTACTGCATGTTCACCGTCTTTTTAAATTCCGTTTACTTTTCTATATCTTTTCTTTCTCTTTGCTTGAATGGTTTCAGTTTTTCTTCATTCCTAATGTCATTTTGTGCATTTGTTTCCGATGCAATTATCCGTTCTTTCTCATCTTTAGTCTCTTTGAAGACACAAACATCGAAGAGATGCAGTAACAAATTGACTCTTCTGCATTTGGTAGAGCAATAAGCAGTTATTCTTATTTTGAATTGATACTTTTTTTTTATCTTTCTTGCTTTCTTTCTGATTATCATTTTTATTCAGTTTTTCTTTTCAGATTTTTTTATGTTGCTTCTTTTTCTTCCTTTCATTTTCCCTTTAATTATCAAAGTTTTCTTCGAGAAGCTGCTGAAAAATTCTTGGTGCAAGCTATTTACCAAAAACTGAATAAATGACCAAACATCAGAATAATTTTTTTTATAAGCAGGCCGAGAACTTTTCAGTACGTCCTCATATATCTTGTATACTTTGAGAATACCCATGTCCCATAACAGTTGTATTATTTGCCGACACACTTCGTACAGTAAATGTAGCAACTATTTTTTGGATAGAAGGTGTAAGATATTACATTCTTTATTTCAGTTATAATAAAAATTGCTTCTATTTTGATACTTTTGGGAAATTTGCTTTTTTCCCATTCAAACTTATATTTCGTTTTTTTTTCGATTTCTTTCCATAAAATTGAGACAAAACTAATTTCCATATTTAATAACCAATTGTAATGACGAATGTATCATCCTAAGTAACTGTTCCTTAAATATCTCAGGTGAGGAAAATTGGTTTCATACTACAATGTTAAAAGTAAATGGCAGTGGATTCCACAATCTACCCCAAAAGCTGACTTGTATGGAAGAAAAATAATATTGTGCGTGTGGTGAGATAGTTGGGTATAATTTTTTTAGAATTCTTAAAACGCAATAAAACACTAAATAGCCGTTTATACGTCCATCAGATGCAACGATTCCCTAAAGTTTTCGTGGAAAAGAGCTATTGTAGTAATAGGAAAAATGTTGTTGATTTCTATGATAATGCAAGGCCGTATATAGCAAGAATACCTCCGTAAACAATTTTGGATCTCGGTTCATCAGACATCAAAATGTATTGAAGATCTGCTAAGTGGCAACAATTCATAGCAAATAATGATGAACATATAATAGAATAAAATATAATTGTACTTCATTTTTTGATGAATAAAGTTGATAAAAACGGAAATTATTTATGATTCCGGTTAATATTTTATTTTTGACCATGTTAATTTTTGTTTGCATTTATCATGGATGATTCCAAAATCATTTTTTGATATTCCATCTTGCCACCTTTCTAAAAATGACCATACTTCATTGATCAACACAAATGAAGCCAGAAAAGCTGCAATGAAATAAAGAAAAGAAGAAATTATTTGAGAACGCTTTTAACTTTTAATATTGCTGTCGTCAAATCCAGGAAGTATTCAAAAATATACCAAGAAACGTTCTTATTCGGCTGATGCTTTAGAAAAAAATGAATAACTAAAATAAACGGATTATTATTTAAATAACTCCCTATACACCCTCTTTCTATATATATATATATATATATATATATATATATATATATATATATATATATATGCAGTATATTATATTATTTATATATTATATGCGCGGTAATTATTGAAAGCGCTCAATATCAGAGATATAGCTAACATATTTGTCTGACAATCGCAAAAGCGTGAGACCCACATTAATCTAACTATATATATATATATATATATATATATATATATATATATATATATATATATATATAGCTTAAACCTGTCTTCGCAGTAGTAACCTTAATGTAGAATATAAACATTCTATAAATATCAGAAATATCGGAGCAAAAATTAACAGAAAGATTTATATTGTTCGGACTGTTGTTTTCATATTTATTTTCATATTCACAACTTTTTGGCTGTTGTACGACCCGGCCTTCCTCACACACACACACACACACACACACACACATATATATATATATATATATATATATATATATATATATATATATATATATGAATTTTAAACCGAACCAGCTATTTAATCCACTGTGGAAGATTATTCTCGTACCACGTCTTTTTGGGATATCTTAGTTTCAGTAATTTCCCTTTAGTCATTCAACTCTCCAAGTTTTTGTGTCACGTCACTGGATTACTTCAACCAATGCCTTTATCCACTAGGCCATATGTCCTTTCGGGATATCAAAACGATATTTAGCTGTCCTGGTATCCATCGAAATATTTTCGCAAAGATTTGGTAAAAGCTCTCTGAGCATTAGGCACTACAGTTAAACTGTAATCTATCAGCAGCACTGTCTGCCTGCACGTCTTGTAATCTTGTAGAGAAAATAATTACCGGTTCTGAAGAAATTACACGTGGATGCACTCTGAAATTCGCATTTACCCGATATCTATTGCAATAATATTAGTTGGTCTGGTGAAACCAATATAAAGTTATTTGGCTTCAATTCACACCATCAAGAGTCCGGGGAGGGTGGAAATAAGAAAGGAAAATTTAAACCAGAAAACAACATACCACAGCATACCACACATGGAGGCAGCAATGGAATAGTATGGGGTATGATTTTATATAATGAACAGAAGAATGAGTGGACTAATTTGCTGTGATATATTGGACATGAATATTCATATATTAGTCAAAGCTTTAAAAACGAAGTGGAATTGAGTGTTTCAACAGAATAGAAATCGTAAACTGAATAGCATCAGCTTAACCAAACTGGTTTTGAAATAAGAGAATCAACTGATTGAAGTATTCATACTCGTCAGCCTTGTAATTTGAACAAACGGAAGATGATCTACCATAGAGAATGAGTCCAAATACCAACAGAAGACTTTTCAAAATTAAAGCGCATGGATGGCGTTATGATCAAAATCTCTTACACAATGTAATTGAAATGTATTGAATATATATTGTCTCGTCTCTTCAAAATAAGTCTTTTATAATTTTCATAAACATAGCAAAGGTCCTGCTCGAAACATGACCGGGATATCAAACATCACCTGGAGTCAAAATCACCATCAACAGACTGCACCTGGGGAATGTTGAACAAATTCCATACCTTGGTAGCGTACTAACATCAAATGCATCCGGGAGAAAAATACGTCGATGAGCGAATCAAGGCTGTTCACGCAGCATACGGGAAGCTATTCAAAAGAGACTTCGGCATTCATGGACTAACGCAAAACAACATGCGACGGAGCTGTTTTAATCGTGACTCCCCAGTACGCCTGTGTGAGTTGGGTTCTTTACAGAAGAGACATCTGCAAACTTGAAAGATTCCATCATATGAAACACGTCGCAGGAGCGCATCACTAACAACGATGTTCTCCATGCGAAGATGGAGAGCGTAGAAACCATCATGACTCACCACCGAATTCGATGGGCCGGACACCTTGCCCGAATGGCAGACATCCGCCTATCCAAACAAATCCCCTTCTCCGAGTTCGTATCTGTCAGAGCCCGACGTCGTCGATTCAAGGATAAACCCCAAACTTGCTGAGGACAGAAATCGATATATATATATATATATATATATATATATATACAGTAGCGAGCATAAAGATCAGAACGATGTTACTAATTGTTCCCGAATATAAAGCCCAAGTATCATTCAAAGTAGATGGTAACCAGGAGATTGATGTATGAACGTATGAGGGAGAGGTAGGAATTAAAAAAAAAGCATCTTTATGCAGTTCAGATATTACTGTAGTAAAAGGAGGAGGAGTGATGCTATGTGAGTAGCTTGTTAACACTTGTTTAAAGGCAGACATTTTTCCGTAGATAGTCATAAAATATATAATAGTTTAGTATAAATAAAATTAAGCAACTCGGTGGAGTCAAAGTTAGTACACTAGAATTGATGCTCAAGGATAGCTATTACTAAATGATGCTTTACGTCTGGCGGCAGCATGTGTATGCGTCTAGATGCCAGATGCAAGCGTACGTGAAAAGATAGAAGACACGTAAGAGAATATTTATGATTGTGAAACGTGAATATTCTGGGGAAATGAGTAGACAAATATAAAGTATAATTATATATATATATATATATATATATATATATATATATATATATATATATATATATATATATACACACTCTCTCTCTCACACACACACACAGACATATATATATTTTGCGAGAAAATGTCAAGAAACATTAGGTTAAAATAGTTTTGAGATTTAAAATGCGCGTGAAAAGGAGTCAAAAGGAAAAAAACCGGAATAATAAAATGAAAAAATATTAAATTTAAGAAACGTACTAAAAAACTTTGTAACTTTCTCACTGTAAAAAAATAGAGGTGAGATTTGCAACATGAAGAGAAAAGTTTCAATACACAAAACAAAACTGACAAAAGGATAGAAAGAAAGAGAAAGATAAATATGGGGAATAGAAGAAACTGAAAGGCAATCAATAAAGCCGAGAAAAAAGGAAATAGAGTAAAGCGTATAGCGAAGAAAAATAATGAGAGAGAGAGAGAGAGGGGGGGAGAGAGTGAAGGAGTAGAGGGAGGCGATACAACAGAGTATCAAAAAAATGAAAAGAGAGGTCGGAAAAAACTGTGAAAATGAAAGAAAGATAAATTTGAAGAGAAATAAAAGAAAGAAAGAAAGAAAGAAAGAAAGAAAGAAAAAGATGAAAAAAGAGAAGCAAGAATTACTAGAAGAAGAGAGAAAGAAAAAAAAAAGAAAATAGAAAGAAATTAAACTGAAATCAATTGTAGAAAGAAAACCAGCGAGAGAATGGAAGAACTTTAGAGCAGAAAAAGGGAAAGGAGGAAAAAAAAAAAAAAAACGAAGAGGGAAAATTAAGAGAAAAAAAAGAAAAAACAAAGGAAAACAGTGTAAACAAATATAGACGGGGAAATCAAGAGAATGATCACAAGAAAGAAAATTCAAAAAAAAAAAAAGAATAAATTAAAAAAAGAAGACAAGCAACCGGAAGAATGGAATGAAAGACACAATAAAGAGAAAAAGAAAGAAAAATAGTAATAAAATAAACATGAGAAAACATTATGTATGAAAGAAAAAATGAGAAACAAAACAACTGTGGAAATTATATATATATATATATATATATATATATATATATATATATATGAGAGAGAGAGGGGAGGAGGCGAGATATAACTTGTGATTGTTTTACTAAATTTGAGATTTCCTAATTTATTTTATTTCTTTGTGACAAAAACAAAGGCCAGGTTTCATGCAACTCAAATTTAACTTTCGGGGCTAAAAAGGTTGAGCACCTTTCGCCGAAATGTCCTTTTGTAAGTTCTACTTTTTGGAAATATAATACCTGCTGTACTGTTGTTATGACAATGTGATAGATATTTTCAACGGAACTAATTGACAGGGAAATCCGTTTTGTTCTAACACGGATGTACAAATAAGCGGCGATTCGCAGTGAAGAGTTGAGAGATGATACGCAAGACAAAAGATTCTGTTCGACTGTCTGTGATACGATGGAAGGAGTGTATGTGAGCATCATTAAAACACTGACCGCTCTGGCGAACAGGAATTTCTGTGGTAACAAGTCTCATAAACAGTAAACTTTGCGCACGTCCTGTAATTGAATTACTCCTCAATCTTTCTTGGGGTTTCAGTAATCTGGCTAATAATATGATAGTTGGAAAATAAAAGCCAAGAAAGCCATAATATTTTTAACAAAAGATCAGGACAAAAATAATATAAGTTACTTATTCTATTGTAAATAAATGTATGAACAAAACGAAAAAGATATGAATAAACTATTGGATTGGAAGAACAATTTGTAGCGCTTTTCATTAAACTGCATTTGAGCACGTGATTTCGTTTCACACGTGACTGAAATTTTGATATATATACATATTCTGAAATGTGATATTTCAATGTGTTCTTCTGAACGATCGTAAATTTTAAATATTTTTACTTTAAAAGTGAAAAATGGAGAAAATGCGATGTGTTTTCGTCATTTGAAAATTTTTATTTTCGGAAAGAAAAAAATGCTTTACAAATAGCATAAAAGATATGTTCAATTTATGGGGATGGTGACGTAGCTTCGAATATTGCTCATAAGTCCTAATTTAGGATAAATTTTGATCTAGAAGACCAAGAATGTTGTGGCATTCTGAAATCGTTGATGATGACTAGATTTAAATGCTGGTTAAAATCATTCCAACGTTACTCTAAATGAAATATCATTGAGATAAATCATATCTCATTCTGATTGTGCTTGAAAACACTTGAATATGTGAATCGCTTTGATGTACATTTCGATTTAAAGGGAAAAATTAACTGACCGCGTTTCCATCTGCAATTCTCTGTTCAAACACAACAAAATATATTAAAAAAAAATAAACGAATGATCACAGGTGACGCAAAATGAATTTATTACAAGAATGTATAGTGAAAATAATATTGAAGAGAGCTAAATGTTTCTAGTTTTCTCGTGTTGCTCCCGTTCAAAAAAATTCTAAAAAAAATTTAATCAGTGGTATTGCGCACTGGCGAATGTGCCTGCCCAGGTTTAATGTTGCTTAGCAAATGCCGGACGCTTTGATTTCATAGCTGCAGTTATCCGCAGTTTAAGAGTCGGTTTGAATGATTTCAGACCAAACTAAAATCTTAGAAAATGGGAAACTGTCGTAGAATATGTATACCATTTTGAAACATAGCAGCACGTATCTTCTTACAAATACTTATTGGGAATCGTGTAACAGTGCACTTTATCAAATGTCCTTTTGTAGTACAGGTTTACTTTGGCCGTTCACTTCTCACATTGACGCTAAACGTCCCTGAATCATTTACAATAGAAGTATACACAACTGTTTTATTAAATCCTACTTTTGGTCTAATTTCACATTCAACGCGTATAACCAAAATTTCGGCCTTTTGTGTCGGCGAAAGTGAAGATTTTTTACCCACATACTAAACCTAATGCATTACACAAATACTATCACAATAGCTGCTAATTTGGCAAGGAGATTAAGCTTAATTCATGTGTAAATGATGACCTATACAGTAACAAAAAACCAGTATATACAGTCTCATATGATACATGGTAATGCAAAAACAACAAACAAAAATAAATTTAAGTAGTCTGAAACCTTTCTTAATGACAATAGTATATGAAGCTTCATGTTAATTAGCAGATTGTCTGTCCATTATTATTACTAATACTTTTAAAGAACAATTATATTAACAGAAAATCCCTTGATATGATGGTAATTGAAATAAAGTAGCACTAAAAATCCTTAACACAATTAAAACCTTGAAAATAAGAAGACGGAGAGAGAGAGAGAGAGAGGAATGACCTATTCTAAAACACGAATTACAAATAACATGAAAAGGGGGTAACTCAAAAGAATGTAACATTTGCCTATAGGAGAAAATAGCAATAATCACCTTTATAGAACTAGCAAGACTCATAAACAAAAGAGGAAAGCTCCTTTCTAAATGCGGACATGAAAAGAAATTTCTACTACGCTACCTACATTAACAACCTGACTAAAAAGTCTAAACAAAAATTCATAACCAGAATCTAATAAAGCTGATTTCAAGTTACAAACGTTAGCAGCAGAGAGGTATGTACGAAAGAAAAATATACAAAATAAACAAATATTGAAAAAAATCAATAATAAATAGGCACATGGTTTGAAAACCGCTTAGGTATGATTATGACCATGACCCTACGGTGTTGTTCATATGTACACAATCTATCTAGCCACATTACAACCAAAAACGTTTGACCAATCAAAACACATAGAGATTTGGGGGGATGTTGTTCATACTTGTCTTGATGAAATGACCTGTTAGTATTAATTCCGGTTAAGAAATTTAATTTCAAGATACAATGAAATAATCAAATATATATATAATATCCTAAACTTAACATATATATATATATATATATATATATATATATATATATATATATATAACAATATTTTAAGTTTAGGATATTATTTGTTTTAAAAAATTATTTTTGTATATACTTTAGAAATAGCTTAAAGTGGCCTACTCGTTTAATTAAATCATTTTTATATATATTTTATTATTTTAATCCCAAAATAAAATACTTACTACATTCAATGGGCCATAAGACATAGCAATATCAAAATTAAAAATCAAGGAATTAAATAAATATTATATATACCATTATAATAAAATAATGGATATATAATTGTAATATATAGATTATTTTTTGAAAGAAATCAATGAACTATATTTTTAACGTAAACATTATATAATGTACTAACTGTAATATGTAGGCATGTAAAATATTTTTTAAATAAAAATATTATTAAAATATTATGCTCTACGTGTATCGAGCACTTTTAAAAAAAGTAAATGCTAAAGAAATGGGAATTCTTAATCTGACTGTTCTTTCTCTTTGTTTGTATATATATATATATATATATATATATATATATATATATATATATATATACAAAAAGAATAAGAAACTTAGTCAATAGTAAATAAAACAATAAGCTAAAAGTTGAAGGAGGAATTTACACGACCACCTGTAATAATTTCCGCAAAAATAGCAGCTAACAGCAGCAGTGGGAATGACAGTGGGAGCCTAATCAGCAGTGAAGTTTAGCTGTAGTGTTTAAAGCTCTAGGTTAACTCCAACAATGGCCTAGTTGGTAAAAGCATTGCTCTTCAAATGTTGTGCCGAATGAAGACTATCCTTGCTAAGCGCATATTCACCGCAGAAAAACAAAACTTGTTGAGAAATTTGTTGACATTATTCAACGAGAGCAATTTTAGATATCCTGGGCATTTGGGTGTCTTGAATATTTTATCAATGTAAAAAAAAAAAAGACAATATTTCTAATTGTTGAATTTTTCCAGCACATCAGACGGGTAGCCTTTATTTGCAAGAAAAACAAATCTGATGAAATCAATTACAGATGAAAATTTATAGGAATTGCGAATCATTAAGGTAAGAGAGATTAAGGTGACGATAAAATTATTTTTCATTTGTATGGGATTAAAAGAGCCTGTAATATTTAGAAAAAGTCTATTAACAGTAGATATATGTAAAAAAATATCAGAATTAACCTCCTCCACCAATTTAGAAATCATATATTTTGAAAATGTAACAAATACAAATTTTATGTTATAAACGATTTCTAAAATAACGAATTACTCCATAATTTCAGTGATGCTATTTTACATCATATGGATATCTCTTCAACAATATTTGAATCCAGTGAAGCAATGAAAAGTCTGCTAATATTTTCCTATTAACTGATTAGTTTATTATTATAAAATTAACTTATGCCACAATTTAAATAAATTTATGCTCATTTAAAAATATTTCAGACATATCCATCACCTGATGTTGCCACTAACATTCTTGATTGTTGAGACAGTTTTTTGGATGAAAAGTTTCACCGCTTTTTATCAAAGAAAAACAACATCTAAAAAGTTCATTTTTATTTCAAACTACCAAAGAACTGATGAGCAAAATCTTAAATATTGATAACGTTTTATGCACCTGGCTTGGAACATTGGAGTTTTTCATGACCGTTTTCTATGAAAACGTGTCTTATGCAAAGATCGCAAAGCTCATTAGATATTTCGATACCAGAATCAACAGGTCAACCAAGATTTTTTTGTAGATTACACTCGGGTTGATTTTTTCATCTTTAAAGTAGTTTCTTGTCACTAGAATTGATAGCTTAGGTTTTCTTTCGCGTTCTTTGAGATTTTTCATTGCTGAATTTCTTAATAATGCTTTGAACTGTTGAAACTGGCATTTAGAATTGCTTAAATATGACTTGTAGTCCTTATCCACATCGCGGGCAGTCAAAATCTTTAATCTGAAGTTGTCACTAAGTACTTTAATCTAAGCCATGATGAATGATTTTCTTATGAAAAAGATTACAAATCCTAACTTCAATTTAATGCCAATCAATTTAGCGACAATCAGCGGTACCTTAAAGACCCTATTTACATTAAGTTAAGGGAGGAGAATAAATCTTAAATGGAAGGGACGGAACTTAAATTTCTGTTCTGTATAAACTGGATAAAAAATATTATTCGTTTAATTTGTTAGGCCATAGATAATTTAGTGTTTACCTGAACACATACACACACGCACATGCATATATATATATATATATATATATATATATATATATATATATATATATATATATAGAGAGAGAGAGAGAGAGAGAGAGAGAGTGAGTGGGGGGAGTCAACAAGTATTCATTTATAAATTTTTAATTCTAAGGGTCAAGTTCTGTTTGTTTAATTTTATGGTATTTTTCTAATTTTTTATTAAGTCTTTGGACAGCTAAATCAGTGGTTCTCAAACTTTTTTTTTTTCATCCATGAACCAATTTTAACCATTAGATGAGAAAATAGCTTATTTTATTTTTTTTACTAATAGAAAATTGTGGGAATTGTATTACTAAATGTACATGCTTTATTTTGAAGTAAAACTAATTTAATGAAAATAAACATGTATCTAACAACTAAATGTACACTAGTATATATATAAGCTCTTAGAGTTGATGGTTGTCCAGGAAATTGCCGCTGCTACTGAAGAGGTTAATACTGTTCTTCCTTTACATATAGTCCTTATATGATTTATATACTAAATATATATTTATATACTATATAATCCTTATATAATTTAAATACTGAATTAATTTTATTATTAATATTTTATATTAATTAATTTATATTTATATTAATATTTCATTTTATTTATATTTAAAATTAATATTATTATTTATTATTAATATATTAAATTAATTTATATGATAAATTGTAATTTTTATATAATTTATATATATATATATATATATATATATATATATATATATATATATATATATATATATATATAAAAGCATTTCGCCCCAAAAGGCGGGAAGCCACTAGGACGCAAGGGGTTACAGAAAATTTAGAGCAAGATCAGATAGGGTGATAGAAGAAAGGATGAGGGTAGTGGATAGATCAAGGCAACTGGAGATGTCGATTGACATTACACTTGAATAGCTGGAGATTATAGCTCACAGGGAAACAGGAGAAGGGAAGGGAGTTCCACAGGCGAGAGGTGTGAGACATGAAGCTATTAGTGAAAGAAGAGACGGCTACGTTTAGGAGTTTCGACAGTGAAGGGGTGAGAGCGGGATGCCAGCCTCGTAGGGCGCTGGAACTCGTGACGTCTGGGAACCAGCGAATGCAGCTCCTCGGAGCAATTTCCATGAAAGTATTTGTAGAACAGACAGAGGGAGGCGACGGCGCGTCTGTGAGAAAGTGACTGTAGACGAGACGCCAGGGCAGGGCCAACCACATTGCATATCCGCCTCTGGAGCCAATCAAGAACCCCGAGGCAAACAGAAGGGGCACCAGACCATATATGGCAGCAATACTCCATGTAAGGGCGAATTATTGATTTGTAGATCTGGAGGATCGACTCCGGGGAGAAAAACTTCCTAGCGCGGCTCAGGGAGACAACTTTCCTTGCAGTGGACGAGGCAATTGACTCGATGTATTTATTCCATCTCAGGTCAGCAGTCAACGTGAGACCGAGAAGCCGCAGAGAGTTGCTCTCGAGAAGTTGAGCGTCAGACATTCTAATGGAGGGAAGGGAAGGATCTCTGTGGTGATTAATAGAGAGCAGTTTTGTCTTAGAAGCGTTGAAGTTGGCCAGCCAATTCATACCCCAGTTCACAATCGTAGCCAGCAAGAGTCACAGTGAGCGAGCACGTAGTCTCAGTAAGAAGTCATACAGTGATACTTCAATACCAAAGACTGTATAAATATTTTGCTACTAACCCGTATTCCTGGAACTACTAACCTGCATTACCAGTTTGTATTATTACGTTAATATATTATTTTCCCATATTAATTCTTGGCGTTTGTTATTTATTGGTACCGGATTTCAGCCCGGAATTCACAACACTATGATTCTGAATTTGCCACCTCTTGGGCTTCTTGTGTAAATGCTCCGTGCAAGAATTTTCTTTTCCATGCATTGACTTTCAATTCAGCGAAGATTTTAGCATCCTCTCCTGACTAGTCTTTAAATATTCATACAAGGATTTATACTCAAATGTTACACACTCTTTCATCCTTATCAATCCTTTTTTTGTACACATTTCTGGATAAGTAGAGCTTAGCTACATTATACCTAAGATTTGTCTTTCGGTCGAAGTTTGATTGTTTTTTTTTTTATCCATTCATCAATCCTAAGCATTGATGCCCGAAACCAAATTCATGTCCTTCAAAGTTTCTTTACAAGCCGAATATACTTCACAGCATTCATGATTTCATCTTGTTATTGACAGCCTGCACAGTTACTGCTCACCCGTACACACTACCACTATGCCACCAACTTCGCAAATCAACACTTTTACTCACTGGGCCATTGAATCTTAGCCGCAATTTTTGATTAATTTTTGATTAAATATAAAATTCACTGCTGATTAGGTTGCCACTATCACTGTCTCTGCTACTACTGCTGGCTGTCATGTTTTGACTGCTGCTGCTACTATACATATTTTTGATTACTGCTGCTGCGGTTGAAGACTTGCTGTCATTTATGTTCTTTCTTTATTAGCAGCTCCCATATTTATTTATTTTCATGTTAGGCTTACTAAGGACGTCCTCAAAGCCCAGCATATGCGCCTATTCTTACCGACAAATGACAGCAAGTCTTCAACCGTAGCAGCAGCAGCAGCAATCAATAACATAGGCAGCATAAGTAGTCAAAATATGATAGACAACAGCAGAGGCAGCAATGGCAGTGGCAGCATAATCAGAAGTTAAGGTTAGGTTTAAAAGTTTACTCCAACAATTGTCCTACAATGAAGTGGTTAAAAGCTGTGGTTAAATGTTGTGAATATAGTGACATAGTGGCAGTGAGTTTAATCTCTGGTCCTGGCAGTGTGCACTTACCCTCAGTGGAAACAAGCGACGAATAACTGAACAGTGCTAAATATAATAAGAACTAGACAATATTTCTAGACAAGAGCAATGGAACGAAAGCAGTCTACACCCGTAGATTAAACAAAAGGTTTAGTTCCGAATTCTCTGTAGGTTACCCAAACGATATACACTTGAGGAAGCCCGGAGGGAAAAACGGCCAAAACGTTGTAATAAACAAAGATGAGGACAATAGTCCAAATATAAATAGTGTAAATGATAACTCCTCATACCAGAAATTAGACAACATTTGTCGATCAGATGTTAGAGCCCTTTCGACATCACTTTTGTTAATCAAGAAGGTATTTTTTTCAGCAAGAAGACATTAAAGTTATTATTATTATTATTATTATTTAATGCAGGTTGTTTCTTTTATATAATAATAGCTTAGAGTCATTCCATGCTGTAAACGCTTCATAATCTATAGGTATTAATTACTAATATCTATCTTCTATTAATGTCTGTATTTTAGATTATTGCGATGCGACGATCGATATATGCATGAATTGTTTCGATATTTGACAAGTTACAATCTACGAGAGAAAGTGGTGCATGTGTGGTCAATATAAGAATTTAATGGTGTTTTTTGTTCATACTAGAGATGCAATGTTTCAAACGAATTATTCACCTATATTGGTTTTACATAGGGTCATTTTGAAATCCTAAGTTATTCGTAGTCATTAAAGAACTTTTTATAATAAATAATAAATCTCAATATTGCTTAATTCAATGATATTTCCGAACAATGAATTATTTTTGATCAATTAATGTTTGCTGTTTTTTTAATTGTGAGTACATTCACTTTTTTAATTAAGAAGACAATTTTTAGACTGTGAAGTAGTAAAATTCTTTCTGTTTTAGTCTATGAAAACGTCACGAGAAAAGATTAAATTATTAATTTTATATTCATATGCAGAGTTTAAAGCAGAGATTTTCTCAACGTCTATTCAAGTTTTTGTTTTACTATTGTTTAGGCTTTTGTCATCAATATATACATTATGTTTAATTTCGAAGAATACTGATTTGACTGCAAAACTTTCGTCATAAATGTTTGTTTTCCTTCAGAAAATAGGTTTTATAAAAAAAAATCTATAATCATAATTGCATCAATGAAAATAATGATCAAATAAATACATTTTAAAGGTCAGAGGATCATCGTTCAAATTGTAACAAGCTCAAAAAATAAATAAATTAATGAGAAATAAAATTAGGCGAAAAAGGTGAGATCTTTTCGAGTATCATTAATTTTTAAATTAAAAATATTTTTCTCTTTTTATTTCTTTTACGCGTGTACCTATGTTGTACACACATACAATAGTAAGATATGGCACAAACCTGTTTTTTCACTTTTGTGTTATGAATACTTCGGAATTTGCCCAGTTTCATTAAATTTTAATGATGTGGGGAGAAGCTGTCTAGTAGAGAGACCTCCAGGAACCAGGTTTCTCTACTTAATGTGTTTCCAGCTACGAAAGGCCAGAAATCTCCCGTGGTGGTAGAGAGTAGGAACGGTAGAAGAAAATCACAACAACATGAGAAAAAAACTGAGTGGTACATATAAAAGTAGACAGATAAAAATGTACATAAATACGAATAAGAATTTTCTATTCGGAAGATAAACAAATTAAAAGAATAGAGAAAGCGCTCTAGAGGTTCACGCA